ACACGCAGTCAATCTTGGCAGCCATGGGTCGGCCATGCAGACTCTTCGCTTCTTAGGTTCTCTGGCATCGAGGGGATGTCAGGGGCAGAAACCGTCTGAGGAGCCACGACGCAGTGAGGCTTCCGGACCCGAGATCTTCCAAACTCTGGCTGTCGAGCTCTTGGCCCAGATCCTTTAACAAGGAGAAGCCTGGCCAGCAAAGCTACGTCCGAAAGGTTACGTACAAGCTGTAGAGAAGGGCACTCCCCCAAAAGGGCCAAGTTTCAGGAGAAAGCTCCTCGTCTGGAATTCGGCCTGCAAGCAGGGCATTTCTCTACATTGCTGCGTGTATTGGGGGGGGTTCCGATGACAAGACAGAGCCTTCTGATGAGGGTACCGCAAAAGAGACCATAATTTGGAGGACGCCAAGAGTTGCCACCAATCCCCACCTTCACCTGAACTAATCTGGAGCGGCTCTATGAGACCTTAAGTAAACCTTGAAAACCCTGCAAACGCGCTGAAAAGCCATCTGGCGAAAGAAATTTGAAAGGCATGGTGAGCGAACCCTAAACCACTTCTGACAAGCCCCGGAGGTGGTTGAGGGATGTGGGATCAACAAACAACCCTCCTGATCAACTCAAAAAAAAAAAGCAAAAGCATGCACACAAACTGCAGGTGTGGTAGGAAAAGGCATCATTTACACAAACATATCTTTCCTTGTGGCCCTTTTGGGAGGGGGGGGGGGGGGGGGGGGGGGGGGGTTTTTTTTTTTTTTTTTTTTTGGGGGGGGGGGGGGGGGGCAGAGTTGGGGGCTAGTTTGATACTTTCTTTCGCTTTCAACCATCACTAGATGCCGGTATTGTTCATTCAATCCGTTATCTGGCGCTGTCCATCGGGCTTTCTTCGTTCGGTACTTGCTCCGGACGGAAGAGACATCTTTGTAGCATTGTTAAGTTGGTGTCTTTCCATAGCACGTATTTTCGTTACTTCTTCAGTTGTGGTGCCTCGCTCTGTCTGTCCTTCTTTGATTTAAGTCTTTCTTCTGCTGCTGTTTTTGTCCTGCGTGAATATTTCTTTCCACGCTATGTTCATTCCTTCTCGTGGTCGTGGTTCTGGGTCGGGAGGTTAAGGCTTCGGGTCCATACACCCCATCATCAGGATGATAGTCAACAAAGCACAGGGTAGACGATCCCCCAACACCCTAAACCCTAAACCCTAAACCCTAAACCCTAAACCCTAAACCCTAAACCCTAAACCCTAAACCCTAAACCCTAAACCGTCCCCAAGGTACACAAGCAAAAAAAGCTAATCCACACCTTCAACGCATCGGGCCGTTGGCCATCACCCGCTGCCGCGATGGCAGCTGGAGAAGACGACTCACTGACCTTAGGGCTTTAGGGCTCTAGGGTCTTAGGGTTTTAGGGTCTTAAGGGTTTTTGGGCTTCACCGTTTTAGGTTTTAGGGTTCTAGGGTTTCAGGTTTCAGGTTTCAGGGTTTTATTTAGGGGTTTCAGGTTTCAGGGTTTTGGGTTTTCAGGTTTTAGGGTTTCCTGTTACAAAACATCGAAAAAGTCTCCTTTCTGGGCATTTCCCAAAATGGGGGTACCCCGGTTCTAGAATAGAATCCCCTTAATGGGATCCCCCAAAAGGTTACCCCCTATTTTCGGAAAGCCCCATATTGCCTGCCAAAACACGTAGATCTTGATGGTGCTTCCTGCCAAAGAGGCTTATCACAGCTCAGCCGTGCATATCAAGACTATGTGGGGGTTTACGAAAACAGGGGACTCCTAAAATATACCCCAAATAGTAGGAATCCCTTTTCATAAGGACCCCAATAAGGTACCCCCCCCCCCCCAATATCGTAAACCCCCATTTTGGAGGCACGTCGACTGACATGTTGAGACAGCTGAGGTGGAGGCACCCCACGCACGCTGGATTTTCTTGGGCCAGGCTTCACAATTGTACGAGCCCCGTGTCGATGGCCCGTATTGGCACCCCCCAGTGCATTCAACATGGCGACCCCGATGAACTTGGCACTTACAAGACCTCGAGCTTCGATCCCCCTAAACCCTAAACCCTAAACCCTAAACCCTACACCCTAAACCCTAAACCACCTGATTTCTGGTGCACCAGGTATTTGGACTGCCTTGAAAGATTCGACGTGTGGGCTGCGTGGAAGTTTGATGTGCGCAACAGTGATTCCGATGAGAAGCTCGACTTCCTTGTTTGAAGTATCATCTCTCGCCGACTTGCAGTGAAAAGACTGTCATGAACATAGGAGATTCCCCACTTACTTGCCCTTAAATCCACGCGGGTTTGTAATCCCTTCCCCCTAATATTAAACGGGGCCCCTCCCCCCACCCCAATAGAAACTCGAAATGCGTTTTTATTATTAGGGGGAGGTTTTTGTCGAAATGTCATAATTCGCCTCGGCTTCCTGCCGAGAAGCGTCTGGAACAAGCAGACCCGGATCGGGCCTCCTTCCCCCTAACCCAACCCTTCCCCCCATGCAAAATTTTCTGACGCCACCCCCCCCCCGCCCTGTGGGACCCCCCCCCCCCCCCCCCCCCCCCCCCCCTTTGACCCTCCTGCCCTTCCTCTTTGCGAAACCCTCTTTCCTCCTTTCCTGTCCTGGGGCCGGCCCGGCTGCCGAGGCGGCGCGCGCAAGCGTTTACAATTAGACTTCAGGGATCCTAAAGTAATCAATTATTTAAATGTGGTGTAAACTGAAAGCGAGAAAGAGAAAGAGAGAGAGAGAGAGGGGTAGAGCTCAACTCTCGCAGCACAGCAAGGCTCAGACAGAGCCACTGAGACACACACACACACACACACACACATTGGTGTTGAGGGGTTTGTTGGAGGCCTGAACCCCCCCCCCTATTTCAAAATGGGTTTTAAATAGATTTTTTGGATTTGGGTTTTTTTCCGGAAAGTGTTCTTATTATTAGGGTGGTCTTCAGTAGCAGGGGGAAGCGATTCAAGAAGGGGGAAGTGAGCCGTCTACCATTGCCCGATGGATTACTGACTAGACCATCCTCTCCATGCACGGTTTCATACTCGCTGATAGTCGTTAGCTACTCTAGCATTAGGTAGGTCCAAAAGGCCATTTCATCATGTTGGAATTGTTGGAAAGGCGCGCACGCTTGTTTATTCCCATGTGTGTCTGTGTGTGTCCATCCAGGTTTGCGTCTGCGCTGGCTGGAGATGGGGTGCCGCCTGACGAACTACTTTGTTTCAGACATTGACATGAAAAAATCTGTATATGAGCAGATGGGTACAGCATGATTCTGAGACTGTCTCCAAAGAAGCTACCAGTGACATGAAACGGGAGGTTGGCAACACTTGCCTGCGGCGATGTGATGTGCAAACTGTAATGGTTCTTCTCCATGCTGCTTTTCAACATACGTTGGATCGATGGGCTTCGGAATGTGCATGCAAGCGCCCATGAGCTCGAAATGACAAGGCTGGACAGTCTTCCTCGACATCATCTCTTATGGTGCATACAGGGCGTTTTTGAAGCATTTGTGCAGCGAACATTCGAACATGTGCAGAGCACGACTGCGCCAACAAACATGGCAGCTGACCCATCTCTAGTTGGGTGCAGGAACGCAAAGGCCATCCACTGCTTCTGAGGGCGGCGCGGAACAAGCCTACCACTGCGGATGAGGGCGGCACAAAACGCACAGCCAACAACCACTTCCGATCACCCCCCGTCACGGTCCCTCCCGATGCACAAACTGCGTGTGAGTCCAAACAAGCGAGCGTCGAACGGTCAACTCTGCCGTAGACCCCAAGCACGACAACGCAGCTGCATCATTAGTCCTGTTGTCGCGTTGAACTCCAGATCGTAGATTGAAAATTGGAATGATTATGATTGATTTTCTGAAAGGCCGCAGGCAAAAACACAAGTCTCCATGCATTTCCAACGGCGTCCTTCGTCTGTCCACGAGTACTTCTCAATGGAGACCTTGCTGGTCGAAGAAACGCACCAATAATTTCACCAATAATCATTAACATCGTTAAAATAAGAATTCACACCATAGAAATCGCACTACTTGCTACAAATGGTCAGTTCGATCTGAGTCTGCTCTCCAGTTCTGTCTACTGCAGATCGGGAACGGCGGACACCTCGGGCACGTCACCGGCCTGGGTCGACTGAACCAATTCTGTAATGCGCTATGCAAGACGAAGAGCCTCATGCACACCAGGGGGGTGCGGATGGCTGATGACGATTGGGTTTACTGTTCCTACTTACCCGCTACTAAGTTTGCTGGTATTGCTGCTGTCGCTGCTTTGTTGCTGTGTATGCTTGGTACGTGCTAGTAGTAGTGTTCTCACGATTGCTTGTATCAATACTTATTCTTGTTGTCATCTGTACGATTCGTCCTTTCAGGTCTCCTTTGAGGTGCACGTTTATGTGCCGCTAGTAGCCGCTAGTAAGTGAGAAGATTCTGCATCACTGCATCACCATCTATTACGTGTGTGTATGCCGTCTTCATCACCCTTGAAGCCCAGGTCACGGCATCAGCACGCTTTGGAGATCTGCATATTGCGCTACCTCGGATGCTTCTGCTTTGGATGCTTCGTCCTCTCTAAACGCTTGATGACCCAGAGGAACCAACCAGGCACAGGGCGTGTGTTGACGATGTAAGTAATTGCTGCAGGTGCGTGGTTGCTGAGGGACGATGTTGAAGTAAGCGAAGTGGATCTGATTGTTCACACGTGTAGCGTGGCAAGCAGCTTGCGTACGCTTGTTCGAGACTTGTGTCGCCAAACTCAAAGACCTCACAAGGATCCCAACATGTCTCGGCAGCTTGCTGTGATGTCGGCGGATGTCCTCAAACCCTAAACCCTAAGCTATATATATATATACATATACATTTAAATATTCAGATAATATGTATATAACAATGAAGCAACAATGCAACTAGATTAGAACAATTTTACAACACTACAAATACTATAATGCTACACGGCACAACTTGACAACAGCTGCTGCTATTGCTCTGAAATCTCTGACATTCAGGCAGAGCCACTGTGGCTCTCTGGGCCCAGGGCCAGTGCCCAGGGGTCCTCGTCAGGAGTTCTTATACTAAGCTGGGCGCTGATCACTGGCAAAGCACTAGCGTCCATTAGTGAGAGCTTAGGGTTGCCGTGTCCAGGCCCATACTAAGGAACCACGTAACTACCCTAAGAAAGAAGTGTTATAGGCATTGTTGCTATACGTAAACCCCTATTTAGGGGACTTAAAACCGTTCGCAGCCGCTGGACACCTTCCTCGCAGAAACGAACTCAACGGCCTGATGTCCCAGTCCTAGCCAGCAGCTATGCAGCCAGGCATCGCCAAGATTGCAGACCACATCCTTCCACAAAGGGTTTAGGGTTTAGGGTTTAGGGTTTAGGATTGAGGATTTCCAGAAGCTCGTGGTAACCCCCCCCGCCCTTCGCAGGCTCGCGGCCTCAACCAGAGTTCCATCCACGCAGGCCCGGCGGATTCGGCCAGCGGTACGCTCAACCCAGTACCTCCAAAGCTTTTTCAAAGGAAAGCTACAAGGGTTTAGGGTTTAGGGTTTAGGGTTTAGGGTTTAAAGTTTAGGGTTTAGGGTTTAGGGTTTAGGGTTTAGGGTTTGGGGTTTAGGGTTTAGGGTTTAAGGCTCACCGTTTCGCTACGCACATGCTTTGAGTACCGGCATCCTGGAGTGGCCATGAGAAGCAGATCTGTTCTCCCTGCTCCTCCGCCATCCTGCCTCAGCAACCCTTTTTATTCTTCACTCCTTGCGTAGCCCGAAGCATCCGAAAGCTCAACCCTAAACCCTAAACCCTAAACCCTAAACCCTAAACCCTAAACCTTGCGCCATGGGACAATCGGCCGGCCCGCGGGGCCAAAGCCACGGCGCCTCGGCTGCACTTAAAAGGAAAGCTTGGCCTAAACCCTAAACCCTAAACCCTACACCCTAAACCCTAAACCCTAAACCCTAAACTGACTGCGCTTGTGCCTGTTTCAGACATTACTGCGATGCGATGCACCGTCAACGTGAGACTGTCTATGATGTCCTCTGCAGTCGAATTCCGGAAACGTTCAACACATTCAACTCTCAGCACGACAGATCCATCGCCGCCCATTCCTGCCTTTCGCTAAGTAAAGCAAGCACTTCCACTTACCCATTCTCTGATGCCCTTCAACCATAAAGCCCGAATCGTCCCTACTAGGCCACCTTTAGAGATGGGCCGCTGGGTCCCTCGAGACCTGTGATCAGCGGCTGCATGTCACGGCCGTCCTGGTGAGAAACGAGGCATGAGCTGAGTTCTCTGAGGGTTTAGGGTTTAGGGTTTAGGGTTTAGGGTTTAGGGTTTAGGGTTTAGGGTTCAGGGTTCAGGGTTTAGGGTTTAGGGTTTAGAGTTGCAGGGCTCATCGGCGCGACCTTTTTCGCAGGCTGAACTCTACACCACATCTCGAACCAAAGCCGTGGACTCACAAAGACTTGGCTGCGATCGGTTCCGAGATGCGTTGTACAACGCTGCAGCAAAGAAAAAAATGATGCAGCGCTTGCGGCTGTGCCCGTGACAACAAGGAACCCAGCAAGGCCCCCGAACGCATTGTGGCCTTGCCCTAAACCCTAAACCCTAAACCCTCAACCCTAAACCCTAAACCCAAAGTTGGTCCAGATCGCAGCGGTAGATCGCGTGCGTGCCGAAGTTGGTCCAAAACAGCTTGGAGCGCACCGAGTCGACCACGATGCTTGTGGAGTTCTTGCCATAAGGAACCTTCGCTGATGGCTTAGGGTTTAGGGTTTAGGGCTTAGGGTTTAGGGTTTGTGGTTTAGGGTTTAGGGTTTGTGGTTCAGGATTTAGGGTTTAGGGTTCAGGTTTAGGGTTTAGGGTTTAGGGTTTAGAGTTTAGGGTTTAGGGTTTAGGGTTTAGGGTTTAGGGTTTAGGGTTTATGGTTTAGGGTTCAGGGTTTAGGGTTTAGGGTTTAGGGTTTCCTAAAGAAAGACAGAAACATAAGGATCCTACGATTGGGGCATCAGGGCCCCTAGAAGGGGGGATTCTGGAAAACCCTGCCTTCTAGAATCCTTATGTTTTTTGTGGTTTGCTGGGCCCCGAATACAACATTTCAGGATTCTCAAATGGTTCCTTGCCCTGAAGCATGTTCACCGTTCTTGTGCCTTCCGACCATGTGGGCTTTTGAGCATTCCACCTTCTCCCTGAAGCTACAACCCCTTTGAGGTCCGCTCCAAGGATTCACCATGTGCTTTGCAACATCTTGACCCCAAAACGCGCAAAGCAACAGCCAAGCAGCGACCACTTCCGGCTGAGTGCCATCCGAGCAAGCTCGGTGCACCCTCGGCTGCGCGCCAAGAACGGTGAAAGTCTGAAAGCCAGCTGGGCCCCCTAAATCGCGTTTAAGGTTGAGGGTTTCGCGTCTGGGGTTTGGGCTAAACCCTAAGTCATGTCTCTCCTCGCCTCCATTCAGTAGGCCCTTGTCTCCAGGTCGGGCTTCTTAGGCTTGTTGAGACAGGCTTGGGTACGCTGCCCTATCACTTCACATCCTTTGCCATATGGGCGTTTACGATGTTAGGGGTACCTTACTGGGGTCCTCATTATATGGGGATGCTACTGTTTCGGGGTCTATATTGGGGTCCCCTGAGTTCGTAAACCCCCCTATGCACCAAGAAGCTTCCGCGTTCCGAAGTCGCCCCAGTACACCTGCCAAGACAGATGAGAATGCTAACAATTATCCACGCAGACCGGCTTCTCAGTGTGAGCTACCATGAACATAGCCTTTAAAGGCACCCTATAGGGGTTTCCGAAAATAAGGGATCCCTAATATAGACCCCCAAATAGTAGGACTCCCTTATCATAGGGACCCCAATAAGGTACCCCTAATTTCAGAAACCCCCCCCCCCACCCCCCATAGGTATCTTCACCGGCAAGCTCCGAGTCTGCTCATCAGTCAACCCTAAACCCTAAACCCTAAATCCGGTACTGTGACGACGCCCCAGACCTTCCGGCTGAAGGCATCCACCGCCACGGCGTTCGGCTTGTTCAGCTCCGACACCAGGATCTGGGGTTTTAGGGTTCAGGGTTTAGGGTTAAGGTTTAGGATTTAGGGTTTATGGGGTTACGGGTTTACGATTTTAGGGGGTACCTTCTTGGGGTCTTTCTTATAAGGGGATCCCCTACTATTTGGGGATGTACTTTGGGGTCCCCTGTTTTCGCAAACCCCCATCTTGGGGAGAGGAGAGGGGGTGCAACCTGGATCTTCAAATCTTTGAGCGCACTGGGACCTTGGAAAGTTTGGCAGACCTGGAACCTTGACACATTGGGTTTAGCGTTTTTAGGGGTTTTAGGGTTTAGGGTTTAGGGTTTGGGGTTTAGGGTTTTTTGGTTTGGGGTTTAGGGTTTAGTGTTGAGGGCCATGCGGCCAAGGGCCTGCGGGGACTTGGAGCTGCCATCGCGCTTGGCGCAGAGGATTTGTCCTGAGAGCGATGGGTTGCACTTGGGATTGATGTTCCCCTTAGACTAGCAGGTGGTTTAGGGTTTAGGGTTTAGGGTCTAGGGTCTAGGGTTTGGGGTTTAGGGTTTAGGGTTTAGGGTTTAGGGTTTAGGGTTTGGGGTTTGGGGTTTGGGGTTTGGGGTTTGGGGTTTGGGGTTTGGGGCTAGGGTTTAGGGTTTAGGGTTTAGGGTTTAGGGTTTAGGGTTTAGGGTTTAGGGTTTAGGGTTTAGGGTTGAGGGTTTAGGGTTTAGGGTCCAATCCCTATTAAGGACTGTTAGTTGCAGGGGGAACATCCCAAGGCTGCACACCTGCAGCCTGGAATTTGCGTGCAAAACGGTACCCAGCACTGACATGTCTACAATCTCTTCAAGACAAATCGGGGCCGAGTCGCGCAGGGAGAGATCCGCCCACAGTAGCCGCTCCTAGACATCTTCAGAAGTCTCAATGAGATCTGCCGTTTGGGATTCTGGATGATTCTTGAACTGAGAAACAGTGGGCTGACATGCAAAATCACTGTATTGGTTGTGGGACTCAACAACTCTTCGCCCCAATACAACACAACGCTGCAAAAATCTGAAACTGACTCAGCCTTTGTTACAAAACTGAAAGTTAGCTCCTCATCGAGGGCCAAGGATGTGCCGCTGGGTGCAGACAGGCCTTTGCATGCTGCTGCATGCTCTCCCCGCCCGCACTGCTCCCGCAAGCATCCTCTGATGCGGCCGAGGCACCTTCAACAACCGCCTCCTGGGCACCGGACCCGTCCAGATAGACACGGTGGATCTTCCTAACGGGAAGTGGCAAGGTGGTGCTTTTCCATCACGAAGTCTGCAGTGCTGTCTGCGCTACACCGCTGGCAGTCCTGTCTGCCAAGTCTGACCAGTACAGTTCGCCTTTGGCGGCTTCAAGCGCGATTCCCGAGGGGCATTGTAGCCCAGAGACGACGACCTCCTAGGATGGACAGGCATTCTTCCTGTCACGGACTTTGCCAAGCTTGTTGGTGCGTGACAGTAAGCAATGGTTGTTCTCATAGCAGTACATCTTGCACAACTCTCATGTTTCGAGGCTGAGTGGCCATGTCTGAGCCATCGAGTCGCGCCTTGGCTACAGAGCGGGCAGCTTTCGGCAGAACCATGCTGCTCTCACCGGACATACAACAAGGGAAGCAGAACGCACAGAACGCAGCACAAAGAGACAGAGCGACAGCAGGGGCAGAGCGAAACAGGGAGATTGCGATTGAGCGAGGAGGAGGAGAGGCGGCGACGGGAAGAGGTAGTTTAAGTGGCGCGAAATCGACATGCATCCGAAACTCGACGCCGAAACGTGGCCCGGGAGTCCAGGCAACCGCAAGGAACCCTTCAGTCTCCCTTTGAGGTCTTTTGCCTCTGGCCCGACCCCTGACGAACAGCTGAGACTTGCCTTTGAGTTGCGCTGCGGATCGCCTTCTCGGCGGCATCGATCCAGTAGATCCTCCCGACCCCCGCCTGAGAAACGGGGAGAGCTTCAGCAGCTCATGGGGTTCAGGCATCCGCCGACCCTGAGGCGGCGTGTTGGATAGTTCTGGGGAGGGAACCCTCCCCTTTCCCTTCCCTTATACCCCCAGATCCCTGGCAAACCTTGGGGACCCCATGAAGACCCCCTCCGACGCGGCGTGGCCGGCTGCGGCCGACACCTCTGATTGATTAGGGATGAGTTCGGCCCTGCACATTGAAACATGCTCTTTCATGTTCGCATCTCTACATCCGGCCTCCATCGCGACATCAGCACTGCTTTGGCTGAGCCATCATCACAAAAGCCACTTAGAAGTTGATTCCTTGTCAGTAGAGCAGCTAGCAGCTAGGCGTGTCTGGCTGGCAGCAGACATGAAACCTCACAACCCTGCAGTGAGACAAACTTGCATGCAGCAGCCATGGTGAAGTCTAGACGAGCTACTGCCGTGTTGCATTGGTTAGCTTCAGCCAAATGGCCTGCGTGTGCAAGGGTTCAATACGGTCAAGGCCCCCAATCTCTCCGCTCACATCACGTGTCATTGTCGCTTCATCACATGTGGCCATGCACAGAAAATAACTGCCTCAACGACCGCCCATGGCAAGCAGGCATTTTGGCAATGACGGTTCAAGGAACAAGCGTTCTCCAAACGATGGCCAAACCGCATTCCCGCACAGACACCACCAGGTCTAAAGTGGCCAGTAATCCCTGGCTCCTTTGACCCTATAAACCCTACACCCCTAGAGTCCCCAGACCCCTAAACTCTAGGCCCTGAGGGTTGTACTTACCTACGTGGTCTCTTATAGGTTATAGCCCCTTAAAAAGACCCTTTATCGGTTTCGTTTGGGGAGTATACGGCCTAATAGCCCATGCTGGTAAACATTGTAAGACTAAACCCTAAACACTGAACCCTAAACCCTAAAGCCTAAACCGACACGGCTCCATCGCTGGGCTCGGGACAGCTCCAAGATCTCGTTGGAGGGCTCACGGAGAGCTGAGTCCCAATCCTCCAGAATCAGGGGCAACGGGTGGGTTTAGGGTTTAGGGTTTAGGGCTTAGGGTTTAGGGCTTAGGGCTCAGGGTTTAGGGTTTAGGGTTTAGGGTTTAGGGTTTAGGGTTTAGGGTTTAGGGTTTAGGGTTTAGGGTTTAGGGTCTAGGGTCTAGGGTCTAGGGTCTAGGGTCTTTAGTCTTGAGGGTCTAGGGCCTAGGGTTCAGGGTTTAGGGTTTAGGGTTTAAGGTGTAAGGTTTAGGCCTTATAGGCCTAGTTTCTACGATGCTGCAAAGCCAGCGCGACATCCTACAGAGGACGGCTCGAAGCCCCTGCAGCCGTGCACCCCACCTGCTGATCTCGCCACCACTTCAGCAGGCGGATTGTCATCTGCATCGATGCTGAGATTTCAAGATTTAGAATGAAGAAGCCTAAGCGAGGCGTCAGGAGCCTACTGGTAGAACTTCTCGCAGCAGGTCCCGTAGCAAGGAAGAATCGAAGCTCAAAATAGCAAACAAAGGGCGGAGCATGTCAAGTCGGGGTAGAGATGCAAAGCAACACCGCCCCCCTCGCTTATGGCTGCCTTTTCTCGCAAAGAGTAAGCCCATGATTGCCCTTGCTGGCAGATCATCCAGGATGCACTTCCTGCTGCCTTGACGCTCCCGGCTTGGCGGGCCACGAACTGCACCCGCTGCTCCACCTGAATGAAATGCGTCCCTGGCCTCTATGGTTGAGATCTTCGCCGGTCAGCCGCAGGTGTTGTGGGTGTTTATGATTATTATGATTATTATTATTCTTCTTCTTATTCTTCTTGTTATTTCTCTTATTAGTATTATTATTGTTACGTCGCAGTCGTGCCACGCAACATCTACTGATCCCAACTAAGGCATGGGCCAGCAGCGTGTGGAAGAATCTGTGGAACTGCGGATGCTCTTTGGCCATGGCCTGGCCGGCTCCAGCTCGGAAAAAAGCCATACATTCTGTTTTCTCATACATACTCATAATCTGTGCTCATTTACTATGACTATACATTAGACTTCGTGTTTATAGACGTATATATATATATAGATATATATATATATATGTCATTATAAGCTATATGGTACATATTCTATAAAGCATATGTTAACCCTGCCCCTGACAAGCCCCTGTAAGCCCTTATAAGGCCTCAAGCCCGAAGCACATCGAGCCCGCGGCCAGTGCCTTCACCTTGTTGTAGCCCTCGTCCAGAGCTGGCGCAAAGCGCAGGTCCAGGTAGAGCACGCCAGGAACGACAAGGCGAACACAGTCCTCTGCCATGAGCACATGCTCTGACCCCAAACCCTAAACCCTCAACCCTAAACCCTAAACCCCAAACCCTAAACCCTAAACCCTAAAGGCGCGGGCTCTGGTTCCACAATTCAAGTGCGCGGCATACGGCTGTCCTCTAGGACCGTCGCCTCCTCGAAGTGGCCTTTCAAGATGGCCGCCTAAGGGCGCTTCGGTTTAGGGTTTAGGGTTTAGGGTTTAGGGTTTAGGGTTTAGGAGTTAGGGTTTAGGGTTTAGGGTTTAG